CATTTGCCCCACACCTTTTGATACTGACGTACCATTTGCCCCACACCTTTTGATACTGACGTACCATTTGCCCCACACCTTTTGATACTGACGTACCATTTGCCCCACACCTTTTGATACTGACGTACCATTTGCCCCACACCTTTTGATACTGACGTACCATTTGCCCCACACCTTTTGATACTGACGTACCATTTGCCCCACACCTTTTGATACTGACGTACCATTTGCCCCACACCTTTTGATACTGACGTACCATTTGCCCCACACCTTTTGATACTGACGTACCATTTGCCCCACACCTTTTGATACTGACGTACCATTTGCCCCACACCTTTTGATACTGACGTACCATTTGCCCCACACCTTTTGATACTGACGTACCATTTGCCCCACACCTTTTGATACTGACGTACCATTTGCCCCACACCTTTTGATACTGACGTACCATTTGCCCCACACCTTTTGATACTGACGTACCATTTGCCCCACACCTTTTGATACTGACGTACCATTTGCCCCACACCTTTTGATACTGACGTACCATTTGCCCCACACCTTTTGATACTGACGTACCATTTGCCCCACACCTTTTGATACTGACGTACCATTTGCCCCACACCTTTTGATACTGACGTACCATTTGCCCCACACCTTTTGATACTGACGTACCATTTGCCCCACACCTTTTGATACTGACGTACCATTTGCCCCACACCTTTTGATACTGACGTACCATTTGCCCCACACCTTTTGATACTGACGTACCATTTGCCCCACACCTTTTGATACTGACGTACCATTTGCCCCACACCTTTTGATACTGACGTACCATTTGCCCCACACCTTTTGATACTGACGTACCATTTGCCCCACACCTTTTGATACTGACGTACCATTTGCCCCACACCTTTTGATACTGACGTACCATTTGCCCCACACCTTTTGATACTGACGTACCATTTGCCCCACACCTTTTGATACTGACGTACCATTTGCCCCACACCTTTTGATACTGACGTACCATTTGCCCCACACCTTTTGATACTGACGTACCATTTGCCCCACACCTTTTGATACTGACGTACCATTTGCCCCACACCTTTTGATACTGACGTACCATTTGCCCCACACCTTTTGATACTGACGTACCATTTGCCCCACACCTTTTGATACTGACGTACCATTTGCCCCACACCTTTTGATACTGACGTACCATTTGCCCCACACCTTTTGATACTGACGTACCATTTGCCCCACACCTTTTGATACTGACGTACCATTTGCCCCACACCTTTTGATACTGACGTACCATTTGCCCCACACCTTTTGATACTGACGTACCATTTGCCCCACACCTTTTGATACTGACGTACCATTTGCCCCACACCTTTTGATACTGACGTACCATTTGCCCCACACCTTTTGATACTGACGTACCATTTGCCCCACACCTTTTGATACTGACGTACCATTTGCCCCACACCTTTTGATACTGACGTACCATTTGCCCCACACCTTTTGATACTGACGTACCATTTGCCCCACACCTTTTGATACTGACGTACCATTTGCCCCACACCTTTTGATACTGACGTACCATTTGCCCCACACCTTTTGATACTGACGTACCATTTGCCCCACACCTTTTGATACTGACGTACCATTTGCCCCACACCTTTTGATACTGACGTACCATTTGCCCCACACCTTTTGATACTGACGTACCATTTGCCCCACACCTTTTGATACTGACGTACCATTTGCCCCACACCTTTTGATACTGACGTACCATTTGCCCCACACCTTTTGATACTGACGTACCATTTGCCCCACACCTTTTGATACTGACGTACCATTTGCCCCACACCTTTTGATACTGACGTACCATTTGCCCCACACCTTTTGATACTGACGTACCATTTGCCCCACACCTTTTGATACTGACGTACCATTTGCCCCACACCTTTTGATACTGACGTACCATTTGCCCCACACCTTTTGATACTGACGTACCATTTGCCCCACACCTTTTGATACTGACGTACCATTTGCCCCACACCTTTTGATACTGACGTACCATTTGCCCCACACCTTTTGATACTGACGTACCATTTGCCCCACACCTTTTGATACTGACGTACCATTTGCCCCACACCTTTTGATACTGACGTACCATTTGCCCCACACCTTTTGATACTGACGTACCATTTGCCCCACACCTTTTGATACTGACGTACCATTTGCCCCACACCTTTTGATACTGACGTACCATTTGCCCCACACCTTTTGATACTGACGTACCATTTGCCCCACACCTTTTGATACTGACGTACCATTTGCCCCACACCTTTTGATACTGACGTACCATTTGCCCCACACCTTTTGATACTGACGTACCATTTGCCCCACACCTTTTGATACTGACGTACCATTTGCCCCACACCTTTTGATACTGACGTACCATTTGCCCCACACCTTTTGATACTGACGTACCATTTGCCCCACACCTTTTGATACTGACGTACCATTTGCCCCACACCTTTTGATACTGACGTACCATTTGCCCCACACCTTTTGATACTGACGTACCATTTGCCCCACACCTTTTGATACTGACGTACCATTTGCCCCACACATTTTGATACTGACGTACCATTTGTCCAATAACTTTTGCTATCCCATTCACCTTTCCATTTAAACAGTGAACAACTATCTCCACAACGAGTTTCCTGGCATAATATTATATCAGTTTTTACTTTCCTAAACCAATAAAAGAGATTCAATCTTTTTTCTGTGATATTAAAGCCATTGACATTGATTGTCAATGATTTCAAAGTTGCTGCCATACCAGAGTGTTATGTTACTCATCACACTATTAGTAATGATTAACTACTTATATTCCTTAATTATTTGCTTAAGTAATTTACTACAAATGTTTCTTAATTGTTTTACTTAATAATGTTCTTTAAACTTTCACTGTGACATGCAAGCTGTTACTCAAGGGAATCTGTTCGCGGACACTTGCTTTCGTTGAAACTGACATCTGATGTCTCACTTCAATTGCGTTTCTTTGTTTTCACCGTCACAGTTATGGCTTTGTTGGTGTCATAGATAGAATCTAGGATGCCGGTCAAAAGAGCTTGCGCACCTTTGCTGTTAACATGTATTCCGTCCTTTGGATCAAAGAGGTTACCAGCAGGCTATCTCCCTCTACAAACAGCTTATCATTTTCTATATATTGTAAGCCATGTCTTTCGCAGATTGTTTTTACAAAATTGTTTAAAAACATTTCAATTCAGTATTGATCTTATTCCATCTGTGGAGTGATGTGTATTACAGCTGATATATTTATGATTCATTTACAAGAGACACTTGCATGGTTCGGAACACATTCAATGATTTCCCTGGTTCAGTCGATAATATTATTGATTTATCAGAACTAAATGTTAAGCGTGTTGTGTAAATGTCTCGTATTGATCGTAAGCCTTCGTAAGAAACATTTAAATATTGTTTGAAAGCATTTCAAGCACAGAGTAGAAATGTATTAGTATGCATTGCAAATAATTAAACAAAATAAACTACATGTTTGTAATAGAAATTTTAACAAAAAGTATTAATCGAACCTAATGAGAGTCTGATGACTGTTGTTACCCGGATAGTGTATAAGGATACGTTCTGGCTGTGGATTGACACTCCCCATACACAAATAACTGGGGAGTATAATTTGAAACGAACTACATAAAAAATAAGCTATTCTAACTGAAATAACGTTGAGGAGTACATTATCCTCGGTAATGTGATTTTTTTGAATAATAGACAATGTTGTACCAGTATAACACATTTAGATCACATTCATCAGTAACGCGGTGACGTTCAAGGTATGCTGCAGAGGAAAATTGAAAAAAAAAAAACACCAAAAAACCACCAAAATAAAAGAAACATAATACATGTTCCCAGAAAATAATTCTCATTTGTATCCCTCCAGGACAATCTTTAGAATAACAAAAAACAAGTTAAACCTATCCCTTCCGTATCAATTATTTAAAATGATATTGATTGTCATTGAAAATAATTTAAGATCATTGTATATTTGTTCAGACTGTACTGCTGATGTATGCCGATATATTTTCGAATGATGTGTTATATGTACAGATGTATGTAGTACATTTTATATAAACATACAATACTGTTTGCTCTTCTAATGTATTTATTTATCTATCTATCTCTTTTCTTGTTACTGTGTTCTTATCAGTGTAGATGTTTGACATTTAGATGCAGTTTGCGAAATGTATATGTGATTAGGATGGCACGGTAGTCTAGTGGTAGGACGCCGGGCTCGTGACCGAAGGGTTGCGGGTTCGAGTCACGGCACGGTACTGTGGGTTGCGGCGGCTCGTATTCCTGGGGGAAGAAGATCCTGGTGGTTGAGCAGAGGTCGGAATCACTGATGAACTCTGGATTGGAGGGAGACAACGTAGCAGAAGGCTTTCACAGTAGCTCCAATTTGAGCCAACCTGTTTGCCGTGGGTTGCGGCGGCTCGTATTCCTGGGGGAAGAAGATCCTGGTGGTTGAGCAGGGGTCGGAATCACTGATGAACTCTGGATTGGAGGGAGACATGATCCGACTTTCTGCAACATACTACTTTGGCTTCGGACTCTGGGTAGTCGAGAGGTGGTATGGGCTCTCTATCACCAATCGGCTGGTCACGCCGAGCCCTTGGTTTACATGCTTCCAAGAAGGCGGTGGCTTAGGGTCAATCGCGAGAGTATGCTCTTCCGGGTAATATATATACTCGTTATGTATACTTTTGCGAGTATACTACTTTGTGTATCCCTGACACTTTGGCGCTGGATATCCGCGCTGATATTAGTGTACCCTCGTTGGGCTCCGGGGCGGGCGGGGACACAGAGAGTGAACTAATTAATAAACATACATGGGTAATGAAAAAAACACAGAAAAACACCCTACAACTAACACATTCCCACAATTCATCATCATGTCGTCAACCACTAGTGGAAAAACTGCAGCAACATTGTCTCCTCTTCTGTTGAGGAAGGGTATAAAAAGAATAGCTGGGGACGTAAAGTCCGTCAAACCTTTGGGATCTGGCGATCTCCTAATCGAAGTTTTTAGCAAACAACAGGCGATTAACCTACTGGGTTACACCAGTTTTGGAGGTATCAGTGTCATAGTGAAAGCACATCCATCACTAAACAGCGGCAAGGGGGTAATCAGATGCCCCGCCCTGCGCAATGACGCTGATGCCGCCATACTGGAGTACTTCCAGGAGGAGGAGATCCCAGTCTATGAGGTGCGACGGATTTTGTCCAAGAAGAACAACAAGCTGGTTCCAACAGACACGTTTGTACTGACCTTTGCTACCCCATCACTACCTTCGGCCGTAGTAATTGGTAACCAAAGGTGCAGTGTATCCGTCTACATCCCTAAACCATTTAGATGCCGTAACTGCCAGAAGTACGGACATCACGAAAAAAGATGTAGGCGGAAGACCGTTTGCCAATACTGTGGTCGTGAAGGTCATGAGGACCAAAGCGACTGTGATATTGCCAACCTGCGTTGTGTTAATTGTGAGGGAAAGCATGCTGCTTCGTCTCGAGACTGTCCTGCCTGGAATCGCGAGAGAGAGATATTGCGGGTCAAATTTACCCGAGATGTCTCCTTCCCCGAGGCTAGGAGGATGTTGGGGAGCACGGACGTGGCTGCTCCCTCATATGCACAAGTGACGAAAGTCCGGTCGCCGGTTGACAATGTCGCAGTCAAGGATGCTTCGGTTCAAGTATCTGCAGACATACCTGCCTTAGGCTCTCAAGTCCCAGACATGTCTGGCCAAGATAACTTGAAAATCCTCACGGGAGACCCATCCCGTTTCACGACTATACGAAAACCAACCAAAAACAACAAACAGTCAAAAGCAGCATCACCATCAAAACCAGCATCTTCATCAAAACCAGCATCTGCATCAAAACCTGCACCACAATCAAAACCAGCACCACATTCAAAACCAGCACCACCATCAAAACCAGCACCACCATCAAAAACACCTTCCTCTTCAGGAGAAAACCCTCCAAAGGTTGGCCCAACTGGGGCACATGTGCGTTCGCAGCGATCTCGCTCACTCACATCTGTTCCTCGATCCCAACTGAGACCAGAGGCAACATCACCTACCAACAGACCTAGGAAAAAAATTAAAGAAGCGAGGGGCAAATCTGAAGGACCTGATATGAATGTCACCTTTGGCAAAGGATCAGAGGACCCGACAAACCGGTTCAATGTCCTACTAGATTTCGATGATGAGATGGAGACGAATGCCTCAGCGCTTCGTGCTTCGACTCCATCGAAATCCAGCCAAAATAGCAAAAGATAAATAATACATTTATCCAATGGAACATCCGCGGATTAAAGGCAAATATAGAAGAATTTCAGAATCTATCAAAAGAATTAAGAACCGCCATTTTTTGTCTACAAGAAATCATGCTCAAAAACCCAATCACGCTTAGAAATTTCTCACTCTACACTAACATTCCAACTGTAGTTAGCAGAGCAGCAGGTGGCGCAGCGGTAGCTGTCCATAAAAATATTCCTCACAGAATGATCAAGTTAAACACAAATTTACAGGCTGTTGCTGTCTGTGCAACATTACACAGACAAATAACCGTCTGTTCAATTTATCTCCCTCCGAGTATTGTTTTCACTTGTGAGCAACTCAATAATCTCGTCTCCCAGCTCCCAACACCATTCATAATCCTCGGTGATTTTAATGGTCATAATAGCCTGTGGGGCTCTCCCAACACAGACGAGAGAGGAAGACGTATTGAGGAATTTATAGATAAAAACAACTTGTGCCTTTTTAACAACAATACCCCTACTTATTTACACCCTGCTACAGGCTCTCGTACCCACATTGATCTATCATTATGCCATCCATCCATTTTACTTGACTATGACTGGAGGGTAAATGATGATCTTTGTGGGAGTGACCACTTCCCAATTTTTCTTCAGAATATTGGGACTCCTCTTGATGATCCTCTACCTCGATGGAATATGCACAAAGCAGATTGGGCCCAATTCCAACACATGTGCATTGAAAAACTAACCATAGACAATTTTACTAACCTCGACGACCCTATCAAAACTTTTACTGAAACACTCACTTCTATTGCCCAAAAGACAATTCCAAAATCCGCTCCAAAACCTACGAAGTTCCTTTTATCTGAAGAATCTTTTAAAACACGCAGTAATCGGGCAGCTGCTCTAAGACGCTACTTCAATTGCCCAACTGCTTCAAACTACAGTGAATTTAAAATTTGGCGGGCAAAGGCTCGGCGATCAATTAAAATTGACAAAAGAAACAGCTGGAGAGAATATGTATCCAAGATATCATCAAACACGTCCTCAAAAAAAGTATGGGATATGATTCGGAAAATAAGTGGGAAAAAGAAAAAGGCAACATCCTCCCACCTCATTAATAAAAACAAAATTTTCTCGTCTATAACTGAAATTGCTGATGCATTTGCAAAAAACATAGCTAAAAACTCATCCCCTTTAAACCACTCCCAAAAATTCCAGTCTTTGAAAAAAAAGAGAGAAAAGAAACGGCTCAATTTCAAATCATCAAACAAAGAAAGTTATAATGAACAATTTACCCTACCAGAACTTGTTGATTCGCTTAGAAAATCACAGGACACTGCTTCAGGTCCTGATGATATTCCATATCAATTTCTAAAGCACTTACCGGACTCTTCACTAACATGCCTTCTTTACATATTCAACCAAGTTTACGCTTCCGGAAAGATTCCCGATTCGTGGAAGAACTCCACAATTATACCTATCCCAAAACCGGGAAAGGATGCTACTGACCCAAACAACTATCGTCCTATCTCTCTGACTAGTTGTGTATGTAAAACTTTGGAACGAATGATAAACACTAGACTGGTTTGGTTTCTTGAGGCCAACGATATAATATCCCCTCTTCAAAGTGGCTTTAGAAATAGAAGAGGGACAAATGACCATCTCATCAGATTAGAGACGTTCATTCGAGAGGCTTTCGCCAAGAAAGAACACCTTGTCGCTGTGTTCTTCGATCTTGAGAAGGCCTATGATACTACATGGCAGTATGGCATCATGAAAGATCTTCACGACCTTGGCGTACGTGGAAACCTTCCCAATTTTATATCTAATTACCTATCAGATAGACACTTCAAAGTCCGTGTTGGTTCAACTTTTTCTGAAACGTCTAAACAGGAAATGGGAGTCCCACAGGGTGGAATCCTATCAGTCACACTGTTTGGACTTAAAATAAATGATATAGTCAAATGTCTTGGTCAATCAACAGAAGGGTCGTTATTTGTGGATGACTTCTTGATCTGTTACAGATCTAAGAACATGCACACGATAGAACGACAACTTCAACAGAGTTTAAACAAACTACAAAATTGGGCAGACGAAAACGGCTTCAAATTCTCTAAATCCAAAACTGTGTGCATGCATTTCTGTCAAAAACGAAAAGCACACAATGACCCAAATCTAACACTCGATGGCACTAGAATTCCTGTTGTTGAACAGACTAAATTTCTCGGCCTCATTTTTGATTCGAAACTCTCTTTCATACCACATATAAAGTATCTGAAGGATAAGTGTTCCAAGGCGTTAAACATTATACGAGTCCTTTCTCATACTGATTGGGGAGCGGATCGTGAAATGCTTTTGCGCCTATACAGATCACTTATTCGAACAAAACTGGATTATGGTTCTATGGTATACGGGTCAGCGCGCAGTTCGTACCTTCAGATGCTAGATCCAATCCATAACCAAGGGCTACGTCTTGCCCTGGGAGCTTTTCGAACAACACCTGTAAAAAGCCTGTACGTGGAAGCAAATGAACCATCCCTTTATGACAGAAGAATAAAACTTTCATTACAATTTGCAACTCAATTAAAATCAAACCCTAAAAATCCTGCTTTCAACCAAGTATTCAACCCCAAATACCAAAACATATTTACGCAAAACCAAAAACTTCTGCCAACATTTGGTATCCGAATTTTGAATTTCCTGCAAGAACTCAACATAAAATTGACGGACATAGCTGAATTTAACATATCTGATGTTCCTCCGTGGACCATTCAAACCCCCGATTTTAACTTTACATTACATGAGCGAGGGAAATCAAGTGTTATGCCCGAAGAACACAAATCCTCCTTTCGGGAATGCATTTCGAATTACCCTTCTCATACACAACTTTACACCGATGGCTCCAAAGAAGGTGAGAAAGTGGCAGCAGCCTGCTGTACTGCCAATACTTGCACTTCAGTCCGACTACCAGACGGCGCCTCCATCTTTTCTGCTGAAGCATGCGCCATTGGTTTGGCCCTCGACCATATCGATGAACACCGCATTAAAAAGGCAATTATTTGTTCAGACTCTCTATCTGTCCTACAGAGTTTACAGTTACGAGATCCTAAAAACACAATCGTACAAAACCTTGCTCTTCGAATATCTCGTATATTAAAAAAGTCTAAAATAACTTTACTATGGATTCCGAGCCATGTCGGAATAAAAGGCAACGAATTTGCTGACAGGGAAGCAAAAAATGCATTGAATCTCGAACAAACAAATATCAAACTACCATACACAGATTTTAAACCTACTATTCGTACAGCCATTCAAAATGAATGGCAGAAACGCTGGTCTCTGGAGACCAACAACAAACTTTTTAAGATACAACCGAAACTTAAAACATCTATTCCCAGTCGGAAAGATCGTAGAGAGGAAGTTGTCCTCGCTCGGCTCCGCACTGGGCACACATATCCTACTCATTCGTACCTTTTAAAACGAGAAGATATACCTTCATGCCACGCATGTGACACTCCATTTACAGTGGAGCATTTTTTAATAGAATGTTCCGATTTTAAACACATTCGTGATAACTACTTCCGAGTCCCGGATATGAAAACACTTTTCAGTTCCGTGGATTCGAAGGCATTATTTAACTATTTGAAAGACATCGGTCTATTTTATAGACTCTGATGTCTTTTAACCCACCTTACCATTTTTGACGTTATATATATATCGCATATTCCATATCATCTATTCGTTATCTCTTTTATTATTTTAACCCCCTTTTTATTTTTTATTATCCACACATACAATGCGAATGCTTTTAAAATGAACCATTTTATCTGATTTTATCTTCGCTACTCACATGTTTGTTAAAAAAATAAAATAAATAAATAAATCGCCATGGCCCTAAATGACCACAGCCGTCGATGGGCCGTTAAACATAAACAAACAAACAAACATAAAATACAAACTTTATGATTTGTCTTGTCAATGAAGCTTTCATCTGAATTTACTGTTTTTATTGTTTTCTACTTTTCAGCCAAATGTATATAATATATGATATTATCATCATTTATGTTTGAAGATGACGAATTTTAAGTTGTTTTAACTTGTGTCAAATCCCATTTGTATTTTGCTAATAAAACATTATATCAATCTGATGCATGGGATAAGGGAAGCAACTCTTAATAACACCTGTAATGAAATAAAATTTGTGATTACAAGCACATTAGAGTTATCTCTCTTCGCTCATCAAACGCACGATAACAAATCAACAAAAATGTAATATTGTTTTATTCGTGTAATCATTATGATCTAGTCATTAAAAGTGCTAAATGTTTGATAAAATGTATCTCATTAGAATAGTTCAATGATTTCCCATGTTTGAGTCAATTTGCTAGTCATTCACGCGCATTGTGTACGGAAGAACATGAAGTTTTTTTTTATATAAATTATAAAATTATAAAGTGCAGATCAAGTTGAGTTGCTTTGAAATAAGGACGACTCAGAGACAACGTATAAGATATCACGAATCAGTAATCCTTTCGATATCTTTTCCTTGTCGTTATAAGTAGAACACTAGTTATTTCTCAGACGCAAATTCATTGATTTGGGGTAAGTAATATGACTTATATATACACATAGAAAAGCAGAAGGCTATGTGTGTATAGATTAGGCTATGTGTGTATAGATTAGGCTATGTGTTTATAGATTAGGCTATGTGTGTATAGATTAGGTATTTCACTTACGACGGTACGCTTTATTAAGTCCAGTCAAATTAAGTTTTATCTTCGAAAAAATTGCATAAGAGTTTTTTTGTGGTTTAGCACTCAGAAGACGTGTATAAATAAAATATAAAAAATATCGGAAAATATCGATTCTAAATTTTGCGATTAAAATATAGCGCGATTGTGTATTGTGACGTTGGCCGCCAAGGGCTGCCGTGTACGCAGTAAGGGAGACAACTCGTTGTTGTATATAACAAGATATCATGCATCACCTCGCTTCGAATGACTTCTGCAGCTATGA